TTGTACGAATCGGTTTAATTAGTGTCTCTGTTGGAATTTAATGGACATTCGGTCCACCAGATTAGATAAACTCACGTGATCTCCAGGATGGAACTGTGTTCCTTTCTGGCGAACCAAGATTTGGCCAGCCGACACTTCCTCTCCTGTAAACAAACAACAAACAACACAACGACAGTCATGCTTGAATCAATATTCATAGTAACAAACAAATAGTTGTCAAATTGTCTAATTGATGCTGTATTTGCGCAAATTACGTCAAATAAGAACAAATGCGTTGCTCGAAAGCAACAAACCTACCAGCAAACCGCTTCACGCCTAGTCTCTTCCCACTCGGATTTGTCTTACTTTTCGACGAACCGCCTCCCTTCTTTGATGCCCAGCGTCTCTGTGTTAGCTGGACTGTGGGAGAGCTTATAAGAGACGTTGTGAATATTGAAAGCGAGCCTAGAAGAGGCACTGTCCGTGTACGAATGAAAGGTTGGAGAACAGACATTATGAAATAATGGAGATTAGGAATACGTTATTAATTCATAGTATGCACGACAAAGGGACATTATACGGTAACGTGATTTGATGATCACATTTCCGATTTTGATAAATTTCCAAAAACTGAACGGGCTTGTAATAGCCGAAATATTAGCTGGAAATACCAAATTTTTTTGTTAAGATAGTGGACCAATACGAAAGCGCCAACTAAAGCGAAAAGCAGCTTATTCTCCGCCTGGGTTTCTGTTTTCTTTTTTATGTGCAGCCTGAGTTATTCTGAGCTATTCTGTTTTCTATTTTAGTTCCCACCTGTTCCTATTGAGTTATTCTGTAATTGAGATAATCATCCCCCATCTGTCGATATCGTATAAGATATATTCTTTCAACACTTTGGCCCCAGTGTGGGAATTTACGAATACCGTTTTCGCTTTCAGAAGAGGATGCGACTCCAGGTTCTAAATAGACAAATGAAAAAGATAAACATTATAAAAACACAAATAAAGGTTACATAGGAGATGTATTGTACCGTTAGACGACGATTCATATCCAGAAGATAATTTGGTGTCAGAAGAAATATACCTTCTGAATATAGAAGACGGACCAGGAAACTTCGAACATTGAGTGAAGCGGATAGAATTTTCTCGAACATCTTTCAGAAATATAGCTGGACTTTTTAGAAAGAGGCTTCGAGTTTCTTTGATCCTTACCCTTGATTGACGCGGAAAAAACGACTCTACCGTATTAATGTGACTGTTCTTATACGTGTACGACATACCTTTGCACAACTTCTACGCTACACACTTCGAAAAGGAGAGACAATGGATTATACTTGTGATCAAGATGCTATAAAAAAATATTTCTTAAAATAATTCCTGCACGGGTATCGCTTCCCACCTTAATTGGTTTATAAATTGTATAAATTTTATTATCGAAAAAGAAGGTAAAAACCTCCTGGTTATTTAGTTCGAAATCACTTTCCAAAATATCCATTCCAAAGCACATGCGATGATTTGAAAAAGTGTTATAAAATGTATAATTTATTGAATTGTGTGACACTTCCTTATATAGGACGTCTCTGCATGTTATCATCCCTTGAGAACGTCATGAAGAAATCGACGTTGCTCAGCCTGTAGGCCACGCTAATAACAACGAGCCTTGGCCGGTGCTTCATTTAATTTCACAATTGTATGGATCTTTTTAACTATGGCAACGACGCAAGAAATAGAAGTCATGGATATATCATAAGTATTGTCTAACGTTTACCGATTTCTACGTATTTTTCGACGATTAGGTTAGATTAGTCCATGGACTGAGAGAAGATAATAAAGATCATGAAGTGCTGAAAGTATGTCAATTGGTATTAGGAGCGAGAGGAGATTAGCAATAAGCTTTGAAGGCTATTTAAGAAACTCTTTTCTCTGATATCACTGATTTCGAGTGCTATGTCATTATGTTATGGGGAGAAATCGGTTTTGCAAAAGGGTTGCGTTTAGACGGTTACAATCAAGAGCTAAAATTAGCGTTTGAATTTAACGGGCCACATCATTATTATCGTAATGATTGTATCACAGAAAAAATGGGAGAATTATGTATGCAACAATCGAACATTTGCAAACGTATTCTCGAAATAAACCAAGTTAATTACGTACGTAAACAAACTTTAGGGTCATTATCTTTTCAATATAATAACCAGTATTACTTAGCGTCAAAACAGACACATGGAAACCGAAAAGCTTGACTTTATCACATTGACGATGTAAGAACGCAGAGAGATTTAACGGTGAGCTTCAAATTACTGGTCAGCGAACGGGAAAAACGAATATGATTGTCAGTCTTCTACTTGGAGACAAGATGTATCGATGTGATGTATCGGATGTTTAACGGGAAAACACGCTATATAAAAAATGACCATCTAATGTTGATTTGACATTGTCTTAAGGAACCCAAATATCGCCACTTGAGGGATTGTTACCAAATCATTGCGAATATTCCCAAAGCATATCGCGCGAAAATGTTACGTTCCGATCGATGAAGCCCGACAAAATACCAAAGATTGACGAATTTTCTCCTGAAAGAGGAACGGTGGTTATATTCGAAGATTTATGTAGTGAATCTAAAATAATATTGTCCCTTTACTTCACTGAGGGACGTCACTCTAATATTAATTCAATGTACGTAACGCAAAGTTTTTTCGATTGTCCGAAATTAATAAGGAAAAATCCGGATTATATTGTACTCTTTAATGAAGCTGATACATATGACGAATT